GAGTTTCACCATTTTTAAATCCATTTAGCCAATCTTTGGATCTGGCAGAAGCACTTTTAGCTTATCACAAATTATTGAATTGGATTAGACCATTACAAACTCGCTCAACAAAGAAAAAGGAGTTTAAATATTTTTTTTCTATTTAATGCTTGAATCTTTTGTATTTGCATCTTGTACTAAGGCTGATGAAAAATCAAAACAGGCTGATACGGCAAGGTACTATATACTCGCTTTTAATTTTTCGAGGGAAATGCTAATGGTCTAATCCGATAAAATGAATTATGCTACGCTAATCTAAAATTGGCTAAATGGACTCAAAAGTGTTAAAACTTACTCGTTTAACTGTAGGTGGGCCTACTTTTTTTTAAATGGAGTGTTCCTTCAGGTCATTCAGCTGACCTCAAATCAGAGGATCTGATTTGGATTATATAATTTTCTAGCTGTTCATTTTCATTATTGGCGATCAAGTATTTAAACTGTTCTGTGTTTAAAAAATTGTCTGATTTGTTTGTTGTTGAATAGTAAGGATGGGAACATTGATACTGCAGTTTTCATATTGTTACTTACAAGCTATTTGTTTGGTGTTAAGAACCTTAAAAATATCATTCATTCATTTTCTTTTCAGTGTCTTTGTTAATTTGGGGTCGCCATGGCGAAATGAACTGCCAACTTATCCAGCAAATGTTATTACGGAGTGGATGCCTTTCCAGCTGCAACCCATCACTGGGAAACATCCAAACACTCTAATTCACACACATGAACTCACACACTATGAAAACACACATTCACACACTATGAAAAATTTTAGCTTACCTAATTCACCTAACCGCATGTCTTCGGACTTGTGTGGGGAAACTGGAGCACCCGGATGGAAACCCACTTGAACACGGCGAGAACATGCAACATGCAAACACCGCAACACCCTTAAAAATATCAGTAATGACATTTTATTAATACAAAATAGGAATTTACTTGCAGTTTTGATTTTCTAGACATTCTAAGTAGTTCAAAATACACTGAAAGTTGAAGTTGGCCTGAAAAATAAAATAAAATAAAATAAAAAAAATTGGAAAAAAAAAATTGCAAATACTTAAAAAAAAATGTTTTCAATATTTCTAATAAAAACTGTATTTAAGAAAAATAAAGAAGCTACAAATGATCATTTAAATAAAAATATCACATAACTAAAAAAGTATCAACATCATATTTAAAATTTGGTGTCACCTATACCTATTGCATACTGACATCTATTCGTGCAGATGCAACATGACAGAAATCTGTACTGTCAATTTTTATTAATGTTGAATGAGAACTGTCAATTCACAAATGCTAGATTGTCTCATTGTTTTTTTTTAGATGCAGCCCATGTGGGTTATTTTTATGTTGTCAATTTTGTTGTCCTGGAAATATACTGACACCTACTAGTCTGGATGAAACATAGATTACCATATATATATATATATATATATATATATATATATATATATATATATATATATATATATATATATATATATATTATTATTTAGTATATTAATTATTAAATATATTATTTAGTATATGTATATTAAACTGTAATCAGATTATTCTGAAAATTGCCAATACCAAGGTGTTTACCAAAATAAAGTAAGTAGTGTTTAATTGGTCATGGCTACTTCCATAAGAGGACCCACCGCATGTATAAAAAACTGATTTAATTAGGCTACAAATAAGGCCAGTCTTCATCTTATGTTTAAGTACATCAATTTAACTGCTGAAAAGATGTTGTGAGGACTGTGATGAAACATACCTATAGCATTCACACAAGTAGATCAACAGATGCCAGGCGATTCCAATGAAAAGCATCTTTGTGATGGTGAAATTGCACCATTTTGCATTTGGATTGAATTGGCCCTCTGTGCTTGCCATAGACGGTTCCTGGTGTGCATAAACAGGGAGAAAGTATCTCAGTCAATGGGGTTCAGTCAGGCAGGGTGGTCACAACTTGCTCTCAGCTCTTTTACAAAACTATTAACAAATTCATACCGCTTGTGTGTGTGTGTGTGTGTGTGTAAGGATGTGCTGTGTCAGGGTGATATACAGTATATTTCAGTGAGGTCTGTTTGAATCTTACTGTGTTGTCTGTATGTAAGCAGTATTCTGATCTGTTGGCACTATTTGAGGTTTAAATGTACATTAGAGGTCAAAAGTTTGAGTCATTAAGATTTGAAATAAATCTCTTTTGCTGGTCAAGGCTTATGTAGGCAGGCATAATATGCAGTAAGTGTCTATTCTAATTATTGGTGTCAGTTCACTTTTGTAAAAAATAATATATTAAAATTATATAAATTATATTCATCAGACCAGACAGGCACAGCACGTCAACATGACGGGGGGATGTTGCTTTGTGTCTGAAATTAAAATTGAGTTGACGTCAAAACCCAATGTCAGGCCGAAGTCAATGTCCAACATGCAACCTAAAATCAACTAAATATCAGCATATAATGGTGTTACAGCTTGACATTGTGTGAACGTCACTACTATGACGTCTATCAGATGTTACATTTTTGTTTCCATACCTGATGAATAGATGTCAGTATTTGACGTCAATATGACGTTGCTTTAACATGTTGACTCCACGTTGTATTTTGGTCATTCTCCAACACAACCTACAATCAACCAAATATCAACGTCTAATGATGTTACAGCTTGCCGTTGTGTGGCCGTTACCACTGTGACGTCTATCAGATGTTAGATTTTGGTTGCCATACCTGACAAATGAATGTCAGCAGTTGACTTCAATATGACGTTGGTTTAAGATGTTGGCTCAACGCTGGATTTTGGTAACTTTCTAATGCAACCTAATATCAACAAAAGAACATCATTTGATGGCGTTATTGGACGTCCAAAAATAAGATTGCCCTTAGACGCTGGCTAGACGTTGAATTTTGGTCACCTGACGTCACAACCTAAATCTAACCTAATATTAATGTCTTATGACATTGTGGTTGCTGGGTAACACCTTTACTGTCACAAGTTGAATCATATTATTTTAACGTTAATTTATTAGTTTAATGTTACTTTATAATTGCATTATATTACCTATATTTTCAAGTTAGAACTCAAAATGTGGGCTCAGTGGTTAGCACTATCACCTTACAGCAAGAAGGTCGCTGGTTCGAGCCTCCATTGGATCAGCTGGCATTTCTATGTGGAGTTTGCATGTTGCCATGGGTTTCCTCTAGGTGCTCTGGTTTTCCCCCTTGTCCAAAGACATGCGCGATGTGTATTTGCTAAACTAAATTGGCCGTAGCGTATTTGTTTGAATGCAAGAGTGTATGGATGTTTCCCTGTACTGGGTTGCAGCTGGAAGGGCATTTGCTGTGTAAAACAGAGGATAAGTTGGCGGTTCATTTCGCTGTGGCAACCCTTGATGAATAAAGGGACTAAGACGAAGGAAAATGATTGAATGAATAAACTCTAAATGTGTGGTGAGAGTTAAAGGGTTAAATTTCCTTTTAATTGACATTTTAAAGCCAGTGTTACTTAATATTTCCTAAGTTGAACTCTTTATCCTGTGCTCTCAAGACCACATAAACATGGTCTGGGTCTCAAAACTTGAAGATGTGGTCTGGATATGGGTCTTGGTCTATGGTTTCAGACAAGACTACAGTCTATTTCCAACATACTGAAGATGAAACTAATGTCGGCTCAGCATCTTCACTATCGCATAGCAGTTTTAAGAATTCCAAGACTGCAAAGTATTGTTTAAAATGAAAGCTAGAGTAAATTGCAAATTGAAAGTTGATGAACTGAGTATGGGCTTCAGCTTTGGTTTTACAGAGTCTAGTAGTGCCAAAGAACAGTATTTTTCTCTTTTATTACATATATTTAAATGTAAAGTTGTCTTTTCAGCATCATTACTCCAGTCTTTAGTGTCACACGATTCTTCAGAAATCACTTCAATATGCTTATTCGGTGCTCAAAATGTGCATGTCATAATATTGTTGTCGCTGTCACTTTTGCTCAGTTTAATCCATCCAGAAGAAAAATAATGAAAGAAATAAAGGACAATCAAACTGACCGCAAGCTTTTGAATGATATTTTACATACATAAGTGTTTTTACACACGTGTAACATATTCTAAAGCATACAGTACTGACATCATTATTGGCACAAGCTGGTTCAGAACATTTGCGGTTAATCAAAAGACTTGCTTCTGTATGGTTATGATGTCATTATGAGCTGATTTATAGCTGACTGATGACATCACACTGTTATGATCAGCTTCCCAGCAATACTCTGTTGCCTTGGCAACAGGCTCACTCAGATGAATCTGTTTTTCAGACGACTTTGAGTTTTCACCCACTGGTGTTCACATAAGTTAGATTTACATTTTAGTAGTGAACTACATATAGGTTTAAGCTCAGTGATTGTGTTTTAAATGGATCCTTCTTTTTTATCCTTCTTGTTTGAGAGTTTGTTTTGAAATCTGAGAGACATCTTTGAGTTACTGTGCAAATGTGGGGGTGGGGGGGATAACCCACTATAATCCATGTTTCAAAAACAAGTCATTATGTGACATTTAATGATTTCAACACAGCACAAAGGAGCTGAAAGACATCAATTTTAACGATGAGGTTATTTTGGCCAAAAACGCACAAGCATTGCACAATGTTGAACATGTCAAACCTTCCTTATGTTTGCCTGTGCATACAAACACTTATCAGGTCCATACGCTTTGATATTTATATTACTGTGAGGTCTAATTGATCCCAAATGTTACACAGGAAGTCCGTTGGATTAATAAACATGGCCTGAAGCTAAATAACACCAGAGAGAGTGTGTTTGTAAGCACGGCTGAAGCCAAAACATTGCAAACTCCCATCAGATTAGCGGAAACCAAATGTTTGCGTATTAGAATTCATTCGCAATGCATGGATGTTTCTTAGTCTTCAATCTGTAAACAAAGTGACTATTCATCCAGGTGTTCAAATATACATGTTGTTTCCTATCTGTAGGCTGGTGGTTTGTCAGTACAGCTGAAGAACAGGGCTGGGTTCCTGCCACCTACTTGGACTCTCAGAGCGGCACCAGAGATGATCTGGACCTTGGAACATCTAGATCTGGAGAAGGTAGGACGCACTGAATAAATGGATCTGTCACATTTATTGATCGATCACCATCCGTGACCAAAATATGGATTTCATCATTTAAGATAAACTTTGTATACCAAATATTTAGCTTGTTTGAGAGAGAAGGGGAAGACTAGGGACTTTGAGAGATCTCAGATTGAAGAAGGATAGAAAAATGGGTTCTCATTCATGAAATGTTGCCATCCTTTATTGTCGAGTATCGTTATGGCGATAATAGTCAACAAAATATATATCACAGACGTGTGATAAATCCAGCCTGATCTCACGAGAAAATGTAAGTATTTTATGTTTTGCCAGTTTAGTGGCTAATTCGTACGAATTGTACGATTTTAAAAAGGAGGTGGCACCGAACCCCACTCCGAAACCAAACCGTCATTAGGGGATGAGCAAGTCGTACTAAATTGTACGAATTAGATTGTACAAATTCATACGAATTAGCCACTAAATCAAAAAGTTACGAATTGCCTTGAGATTGTGTTGGATAAATCACATTTATTTTATGCATTGGTTTATTCCCACCCTCCAAAATGTTGCTGTTCTGCTATTGGCTAGAGCGACCCAAAGGTGAACCCAGAGCTGAAAATATAGTGGAGGAAATAAGTATTGAACATGCCATGTTTTTTTCATCGGAATAACATTTCTAAAGGAGATGCTGACTTGGAATTGAACCAAATTTTGGTAAAAACTCAAACAAAACAAACATAAAAATGAAACAAAACAAACAAAATCTGAAAATTTTGTTATGAGTAATAACAATTAAATGACACAAGGAGAAAGTGCTGAACTACTGAAAAGGATTCAATAATATAAGACTTTTTCTGATGATGGCAGCTTAAAGACGCCTCTCATATGTAGATTGAAGTCACATGAATTGCTCAGGTGTGATTTATTTCACCTACTTCAACAAAATGTAAAAAAAAAAATTTGATGGTTCTGTGGTTTATTTATTAAAACTGATCTTTAATTTGTATTCTCTATTGGATTCAAGTCAGGTGATTGGCTGGGCCATTCCACAGCATGATTTATTTATTCTCTAAAAGCATTTGAAAGCTTCCTTGGCTGTGTTGGGATCATTGTCTTGCTGAAATGTCCACCCTGGTTTCATCTTCATCATCCTGCTAATGTAGATGTTGGACTGAAACAGCTAATATTTATTTACAATGATGAAGGGCAAAAGGTTGCTGAAGAACTACTGAGAGATTTTAGCTTCTGTCTGGGCTTTCTACCCTTTCCAATATTCACGTGTTCAATACTTCATTCCATTTTATTACAGTGTCAACGACAGCTTTAAAAATAAGTTTTCTGAGGAAAATGGTGACATGTTCAATACTTATTTCCCTACTGCAAATACTTCGAGAAGAGAGGAAAATGACAACACCCAATAATATTAACTTTTAGGGCAATACAAATAGATTGCTGAAAATCAATCAATGAGTCAATAAATAAGCAAAGGATTTGGACGTCCTATCCGTCAGTTGCTGAATGGATTTTGAAATGTTGATTGGATGTGGGTCTTTCTCACAATGTAGACTTTTAGTTGATTATGAGTTAGATTTTTAAGTGATATTATTTTTGTGCTGGTTAAAAGAAATAAGCATATATAAGTCATACACAAATAATTCACAATACGCATTTACAAAATTAACATGCGACTGATGTTCCAGTTTTCTTCATTGTGAAAGCTTGAAACTGTATTTTTACAAACTAGATATCTGGAGTCTAGGAGTACACAACAACAAAAATGAAATTTGAAAATACGTCTATACAAATCTGCTATAAAAACAGTGGTCTTAAATGTCAGATGTGCTAATTTTAATGGCATGTAATATTCAGCTTAATTAAACAACAACAAAAATGAAATTTGAAAATACGTCTATACAAATCTGCTATAAAAACAGTGGTCTTAAATGTCAGATGTGCTCATTTTAATGGCATGTAATATTCAGCTTAATTAAATTACAATTGCCAATAATTCAAACTAACACAATTGAAAATTAGGTTGTTTTGTCATATTTTAAGCTCCATACTCCTGAATGTACAATGCCATAGTTAAAGAAAAACTGTTCTGTTTTCTCACTACAATAAAACAAGCATAAAGGATGATGCAGTCTCAATATAAATGTGTCCTTTTCTAGTCTTAGCAAACCACACTTTAGCAGTATTTTGTGCAGAAAGGCTCCAGGTGTAAGATTAGGAGCGTTCAGGCTGGAGATAAAGCTTTTGCTACTATCTTTGTCTTAGGCGGATCGATAAATCCCCACGCGTGCGCACAATTTATTGATCCCAGAGGGGTAATTTACCTTCCCTCATGGCTACACAGCTTCATTTTTAAGATGTAGACAGATTTTTGTAGGCTGAACTTTGTTTGAACTAGACCATCTACATTTAGAATTGTTCAAATAAATTATTTAAATTGAGCTGAAACAACACTATTCATGAGCTTCTTGGGGACAAGTTAGTTGTTTTACTGTATGTACAATAAACCTAAATTGGTGAAAACTAGTAAGTTAACTTAATTCCTTCATGTTGTGTCCCAACACAAATCGATTGTGTTGAACCCAACATTTTTTCAACCTAGGCTCATTCTGAAAACGTAGCCCTATATACATTTAGAGATCGATAATTATGTAGCCAGAGGAATTTCGTCCTTAAAACAAATGAAACGCGGCGGTATGATGCCATTCCTTCTCACACTACTGGCTGACTCCTTACTTCTGTATGGACGGCTTTTCCGCTGTTACCAGTTTGTGCAGTGGATCACGTCAGTGGCGGACTTGAGACGCAGAGCAGAGTTGACTGCAATAACAGGGTTCAGGTCCGGCGAAGAACAGTTCCAGAAAGCAGGTCAGACAAAAACAAAAGCCAAAAAATATCAAATAAACATGAAAACAACAGAGTGAGAATGTGCTAAAATCTGAAAACGTGGTAAAAGTCAGACTGCCGCAAGGGCTTTTTTTTCTGGATTGCTTTTGAAAACACTTCCGGTTGAGTTTAGGGAAGTGGGTGGGCGCTGGTCAATTGGTGCTTTTTAAAACACTATTGGTTGGGTTAAGGGAAGGAGGAGGGTGGGTCAGTCGATCAGTCAGTCAACAGCGGCCTCTGGTGGATTTACGCGAGAAGAGCAGGCACTAATGGCACTTGCGAGAGAAATTTAAGATCTCAAAAATAATAATAATAATTCCTTACATTTACATATTTCTAGACACTCTCCTCATCCACCACCAGTGTGCAGCATCCACCACGCGACGGCAGCCATATTGCGTCAGACCGTGCACCACATACCAGCTGATTGGTGGAGAGGCTTCATCATAATTAATGAAGCCATTTATGATATGGGTATGGTAAGGAGGCCATGATGGACGGAGGCCAGGATGCTGGGGTTAAACTCCTACTCTTTTTCGAAGGACATCCTGGGATTTTTAATGACCACAGAGTGTCAGGATCTCAGTCTCATCCGAAAGACAGCGCTCACTGAGCAGTATAGAGTCCCCTTTACTCTACTGGAGCATTAGGACCCACACAGACCGCAGGTTGAGCGCTCCCAGTTGGCCTCACGAACACCACTTCCAGCAGCAACCTAGCTTTCCCATGTGGTCTCCCATACAGGTACTGAGCTGGTGCAGCCCTGCTAAGCTTTAGTGGGCGACCATGTAAAAGTTGCAGAGAGCTAGCTGCCGGCATCTAGCATATAGCAAAAAAAAAACATACACAGCAGACTCTGGTGGATTTGCGAAAAAAACGGCACATAAACTTACCTCCTGGATTGTATTTGGCGCTCTCCAGAAATGTACATAGGGGTACGTAATCAGAATGACATTGACATTTTTTGCAGTGCACTGTTTCTTTCATTTGACTGCACTGAAAAAAATGAATTATATGCCAAAAACTCATGACAACAGATGTTTTTGTGTAACTTTGAGTTATTGTAATACATTAATCGGGTTTGACTATTTATTATTATGACTATTTATTATTAGTGTTATACAAAGTTTACCTAAATATTTTACTCAGTTTGATTGATGTAAGTTGAGATGATTTGACAGTTATTTTGATTCAACTAAAATTAAAGGCAGCAGATTGTTTATTAACAGTGTACATTTGCATCTTTGGAGCACTACGAGCAGATGACGTTTCCATTCTGCAGCACAATAGAATATCAAAACACTACATTTTCCACAGTATAACAAGCTCCACTAAAATCCAATAACACATGTATTAATCCAAGTCCTCTATTGCTTTCTTTGTCATCGTTCGAGCGTCGCTAACCGATCACGACTCTCTCTTCCTCCATGTAATCATTTATCTTCATTACACTAATCCCAGTGTTGCTTCTCAGTTGTTTACGTTGAGTTTGTCATGTCTCTGTTCTCTTTCTGCTGCCCTCATTCATCCATGTCAGTTACTAAAAGGCGTAAGGCTCATCTGAAGAGGCTCGACCGGAGATGGACACTAGGGGGAATAGTCAACCGCCAACAGAGCCGAGGTGAAACATACATACAGTCACGCCTGCATAGACTGATCACATGCAAGCACTCACGTGTGTGTGACCAATCTGCATGCTGCGTTTGTGTGTGAGTGTGTGTACACGGTGGTTAGCGTAAATATGCACACAGAAACTCACTTTATGGAGCCAGCTACTGGATCAGGCTCCCAAAGCATGCTGGGTGGCCTGTTTCATCCGCGCTCCATCATAAAACCTTTATGATACTTTGCTTGCTTAATGTCTGTGTTTGTGTTTACATGTGTATGGATGTAAAATGTTTGCTTGCTGACCAAGAAAATGCTGTTTTACAGTGTTTCTCTGGAGGAAGATTGGTTTCGAAGTACATAGTTCTGAAAAAAATAAAAGTTTTGTCTTCTCAAATTTAGGATTAGCGCCCAAAGATTTGATCGTAAAGAGATAAAAATATTTAAAAAAAAGAGTTAACCCCTCAAAAATGAAAGCGTACTCACCCTAAAGTTCAATCCTGCATGAGTTTTTAGATGGACAAAATGGATGAGTCTTCAGATGGACAAAAACAAAGATATTTTAGAGTCACACAGTTGGCAACCAAACAATGAATGGTCCCCATAGTAGGAAAAATACTATAGAATCAATGTGGATCATCAACTGTTTGGTTTCCAACAATCTTCTAAAGATCTTCAATTGTGTTTTGCAAACTAAACTTAAGAAAGCAAAACTGCAAGTTTGAAAGAAGTAGAGAGTGAGCAAATGATGACCAAATTTAAACTATTTTTCTGAACTGTCCCTTTAAGAGAGGTTAATGCTACTTAGTACTGATGCTTTTCCATCTGGTGGACTAACAGCTTTAGTTCAGCTGGCTTGATTTTTAAAAAAAAATGTTTTCTAATAAACAAGTAACTATTGCAGTTTAAAGATGACTAAACTAAACTGTGGAGTTTTCAGTGGTCACTTACATCTGAAATGCATTTATTACAATTTTGGCTCAGATTCAGAAAAACAAGAACTTTAAACAAATCTTTTGAGATTCCTTGAGAAATAATGTGATGTCAAATTTATATAATAAGAGTCTTGCATTATTTAAGACCATGGATACATGTGAACTAATTGGATGTGACCTTTAAACCAAGGAAACCTTTAGAAACTTTTGAAACAGCATAATGGGGCTCTTTAAAAGGACAAACTCCATATGATCTGTGTGTAAAGAAAGACATGTTTGGTAGAGCTGAAAGTCAATTGAGACTTCGGATCTCCAAAGCCTTCCATTTTGAGGACAAAACACAAACATTTCTTCAGAATCATTGTTGGTGTTCTATACATGAAGAGAAAATTTTGCAGGTTTCCATAAATTTAGCAGTCAGATTTGGCATTCTGAGGTTTGTAAACATTTGCAGAACTCTAAATTTGAGGTAGAGGATGAGTTGAATCACACATATGCGGTTTGACCTTTCCAAATCCCATCTAAACAACCAGACCTGAAATAAAGACTGATGTCTAGACTTTTAATGGAAATGCATGTTTGTATGGTAATAAATCTCCTTGGAGATCTGCTGTTTCGTGTTGAGTCATGGACCTCTACGGAGATATAATTCTCACAGTTTTCCATTTGTGTCCCCATTGGAGTGTGCTAATGTGCCATGAGCAAGATGCAAATGGCTCTAAGTAGAGCATGTTGGGTTAGGAACTGGTCAAATTGGTAGCTTTTCCTTGATGTGAAAAATAAAGGTTCCAATAGAGGGTTCACACAAAGCATTTTCACTCTTCTAAATGATTAACCCTGGAACTACCAGAATTCTATAACTACTAGAGTTATCATAGCAGTCATTCTGACTGTTCTCATGTAAGACGTCATATTGTCACGTCATATTTACATTCAAAGCTTCTTTTGAGATGATAAAATTAAGCTTTGCATTTCTGTTGTCATATTTAATTAAGATATCCTAAAATATAAATTTGGTAAAACAGTCTAAACATTTAGAGTTACACTGTAAAAAAAAAAAAAAAATCCCGTAAAATTTACGGTAAAAAACTGGCAGCTGTGGTTGCCAGAAATTTACCGTAAAAATACAGTTGAATGTTTTTCAGTATAACAGGTACTGTAGATGCATATTCAGAGACTTGTTCTTGAAGTCTTTGCTTATGGTATGAGATGACTCATGTTTAATAAGTCCAATTAAAGAGACAGTTCACCCAAAACTGTAAATCTGTCATTATTTACTCACTCTTTACTTGCTTCAAACATCTTTGACTTTTTTTTGTTGGACACAAAATTAGTTATTTTGAAGAAAGCTAGATACATGTAACCCCTGACTTCCTAGTATTTGTTTTTACTGATACGGAAGTCTATGGTTACAATCTTCATTTGTATTCAAAATAATAAAGAAACTCATAAATGTTTGAAACCACTTGAGGAAGAGTAAATAATGAGTAAATGTACTTTTTGGGGTGAACTATCTCTTTAGGAAGTCCACTCTCCTTGCAGTATTGACCACTAATAAGCATGGTAACTATTAAAGGTTAGACAAAAACAGTTAGGATGATCTTTTTTTTTCTTTTAAACGGTGGCTCATGCATATTTGTATAAACAGTTATGATTTTATATCGGACGTGACAATGTTGCTGTAACTCAGTGGCTGCTTTTCTCTCATTATTTTTTCCCCCTTCGCTTGCACTGTTGGAGAGGTTGTTGGAAACTCACAGTAGAAAGTGTTAAAGTAGGTCACTGGCTCACTGTGTGTGACTGCATTTAAGCATATTTATTTATTTATTTATTTATTACAGTATACATAATAATAAGTCCGAGAGCACCATGGCTGAGTCAAAGACAGAGGGTTTGTTTCTGCATGAACACAAATTGCAACCTTCAAAACAGGTCAGAGGTACAGTGAGAATTTCAAAGCTGTTGCTGGGAAAGCACTAATAATCTTGAAGTGTATCTTCTGGAATACAATCATTTTACAAATGCGCTATTCATGGCATCTTTAGTTACAACTACATTCTTACAAAGTATTTGATTCCTGATTGGTCACAATGATCTTTTATTTAACTTTAGTATTATTCTCTTTTTAATTTGTTCGCTTTTAAGTTTAGTACTATTATTATTCCACATACTTGTACTACAAAAATAAAAATAAATGAATCAATATTTATTTAGTCTATGTGCTTTTTCCATATAGTGAAAAAGATCAGGAGCTACAGTATGATGCTCCAATACTGCACATTTATAAACATCATGAAAGTATTGGTTGAATACTTTGTAAGTAATAATGAAAATGTCTTTATCTCTCAATGTGGCCTCATGTACTATGCACATGGAATATGGCACAAAACATAAGTGATTTTTCTTTTCTTTAGGAGTTTGACAACATATGGTCACCATTCACTTTCAATCAGCCACATCAGCATTCATCTGGACTTGGCCTGTCCTTCAAGATTCAGAATGACTGTCAGTGCAGTATGACAAAATCCTGTACAAATATATTACATTTATTATATATATATATATATATATATATATATATATATATATATATATATATATATATATATATATATATATATATATATATAATTACATTTATTATATAACGCACACTATTGTGTATTGATTTTCATGCTCCTAGTATTTATTTTTTAGTTGCCAGTGTCTTTTCTGTTAATTACTAATACTTTAGGTACTATTACACTTTTAACTATTAACTTCCACTTTAAGACTACATCTACACTAATCTGGATGAATTTCTTAAAATGTTTCTGTCTAAAAATAGTAATTTCAGTGTATTTGTTTTAGCTCTTACCACATATAGGAACTTTGAAATTCTTTTCATTATATCCCATATTGGAAGTCTCGGAACATTTACAGCTTACTTCTGTGTTTAAAATTTTTTAAAGGGCACATAGTTTATGATTTAATATTAGTATTATGGTTCTTCTGAGTGTGCCAGTTTAGGTTCAGTTCAAAACACAGTTCAGATGTTTTTATTATAATGTGTTAAAAAGTGTCATGTTGGGGGCGTGTACACATGTACGACTCGGACACAGACCAAGCAGAGAGTACACAATCATTTGTGTCTTTGTATAGTTGTACAGCCAACTGTGTGCTAGTTTCAAGTGCCGAGCTTGTACACCGAGACTAATAACTACGCACACTGAATTAACTTTGACTAAGGCACCGGATGCGCTGCTCGAAGTCGCGACAAGGCAGACACTCTCTGTGGCGCGGCAGAAACATGAAGTGTCCCGAATCGTCGCGGCTTGCATTTTAGAATTCTAAACAGGTTTCTATCAGGGTAAACACAATGGTGCTTCAAGTCAGCGGCTGTCCGCGGCGCCCAGCCACATACTTGAAGCACCATTGTGTGTACCCTGATAGAAACCATTGTTTAGAATTCTAAAACGCATGTCGCTGTGTCAGCATCGCGCCACGCAGAGCAGTGGTGTGTGACCTGCAGGCAAGTTTGTTTTTTTTATTTCCAATGGAGATGCGCACATGAGGCAACGCGCTTGCACTTTTCCAGCTGCACCTAAGATCACAGGGAGCTTCTGTGACCTCGAGAAATGCAAACAGCTGAAGTTTAAGGTAGACGCAATGAAAAGTACACGTTTGCAAACCTACCTAAAGATACAACCAATAATTCCGATTAGAGTGATAATGTGGAGAATATTGATCTTGTGTCGAGCCTATTGAGCCTAGCATCTAAAAATCGAGCAAGGATGTTCCTTTAGTGATATCGCTTTGACTTTGATGGATGGCGGATGTGAATCAACAAACTGAGAATATGATGACGCGCCTGTCAATCAATATTGGTGGGTGGGGGAACCGCACTCCTATGTCAAGTTGCGGTCGGTCTGAAAACTGCTCTAATTGGTCCACCATTTTTATGTTGTTAAATTAAAAAAAAAAAAAAGCACTAGGTGTGTTTAAATCAACCCAATATGACGGTCTATACACTACACACATGTCTGTCCAAACAGCTTGAAAAGTAGATTTTTACCACAGGTGCCCTTTAACACGTTGAAAGGGTTGTGTGTGTGACTTTGGCCTTGGGGCTGAGTAAATGAACAGTTTTTGACTGAAGTGCTCTTTCAGGTGTGTCAAGAAATTACAGCATCAGCAGCAGAAACATCTCAAATTCGTACAGCGCCTGCAGGACAGAGTAAAGTCTTGAAAGCTGAGGTTGACTTATAAGAAATGGTAAAGCAAGCAAGTTTGCAGGGTCAGTATGAGTATGACAGCTAGAACGATGTGTCTACCAGCAATCTCTCTCTTGCATTTTCACTTCTCTGTATGTACTGCAGTGGTTTTTAGGTCAAGGAGGCTAAGGGGGGGGAAAATGCCTCTATTGGCACACTGCTCCACAAGTGCATGCAAAACTAAAGTAATATGTTCTGGACCAACCTGACTTTTTCCACCATGCAGAATGGTCCACCGTGAAAATAGTGCTGAGTGGAGGAAAATGTGTTTTTGAGGCATTTCTTTTTTGGCTCTTGCGTTCAACTCTCACTCACGTTGGTCTGAATTTATTTACAAGCAGTGTTGGAAAGAATACTGAAAAGTACAAGTGCCATTATTTGCCCAAAAAAATGTAGTGCAAGTAGAGTAAAAGTATTTGCCCTAAATACTACTATCCTAAAGTATGAGCAAAAAGTAGCACTTCTAAAAGTACTCGAGTAGTAGAGTATTAGGCTGAAAATGATCCCCTCTTATACTCTGCAAATTAAAAATGTAACTAATATCGGTGACATTTCTTTTTAAGGGTGCTTTCAAACCTGTAGATCGATTGTTTTGTTCTGAAACAGGGATTAAAATTGTTACAATGTTTATTTTTGATCTTGGTGCGGTTCACTTTCACACAGCAATGTCTCAAAATAGTAAAAACAAGTCACGTGCGGGTAAATTCTCCTCACATTGGTCAGTTTCATGGTTTATTTTTCAGAGCGCCACTGACTCATCTGTCATACAAGGTTATTTAGTTAGTACATGGTCATACGTGGCTAAATTAGTATTAATTTCACAACATATTAATTTTAGTTAATCAGTCATATGTGGTTATTAATAGTTAAAACAAGTCATGTGCGAGTAAACTCTCTTCACATTGGTCAGACTTCCATGGAGTGCCACGGACTCCGCTCATCTTTCATACGTGGTTATTTACTTAATACGTGATAATTTTATAATGTATTCATTTAATTAATATGTTAAAATGTGTTTATTAATAGTTGAAACAAGTCGCTTGCGAAAAAATTCTCTATTTAATTTTGACCCCCACATACATAGTCAATAAATATAAGCCAAAGAGGTAAGACTTTTTCATACATGGCCTCATTTCAGTTATCAAGGGTGGTAAAGTCGATTATTGCCTGGTTTGATAGTTCGATAGGCTAGAGAAACTAGCCAGTTACAGTAATTTGAATATTTGAAATTCATTACTTTACACTACAAGGAGATGTTAGCTGAATGTGTGCTAAAAAGCTCTTCTAAATCCTCGTATCAGCTCTAGGTCAGAAGTTCAGGATGAGGGTAGTTTCTTCACTGTAATACATTCAGTTATCAGATTTCCCAGTGTGTCTGCTGCTGAGAAAGCATGAAGTGTTGATAGAGACGTTACGAAAGAGAGCGAATATCTCGCTTGACCTCATTTCGTCGTCAGACTGAGTAATTCACTGCTAAGGAAAACTAGATATAGGATATCCATCACTCCTTTTGTTGGTTTTCTATTTCGACACGTCTCCCACTATTAATATGTCTCCGTATCAGCACTATTTTTTATTTCTCCTTTGCTGTTTCTCTAAAAATTATAGCATCGCACTGAGCTGACTGTTAGCTCGGTTGCAAAGGGAAATACATCAGAGTGATATGTAGACGTTAAACATTGCTATGCTGTATGAAAACAATATTTAATCATGTTTTATGTGTGCTTTTTGGGGGGGAGAAAAATTCTTCGGAAGATCTACACGTCTACAATGCAAAACGGTGGGAATTAAGCTAGGCCCGAAGGGTCATTTTGTCTTGGAAAACCTCTGATGAAGATGTCCGGGTCATATTTTAGCACATGATCAAAGGAAATGTATTGCTTGAAGAAAATTAAACATAAATTATCATTAAGATTGATTCAAAGGTCCTGTGAAGTGCTTTGAAATGTTTTGATGTTTGACATAATCTCAATTAAAAATTGGGGTGGGACATAGTGAAGCTCCTCCCTAATTGTGTTTTGTTTGATCACAGCTCTACCAGTGAGAGTAGTTAAGATCAAGCACATCAAATGAATAGCAAATGAAGCGTCTTGAAGGGGACGGGGCATGTCAGATACTAGAGAGCATTTGATTGGTCAGGATTTCATGAGAAACACGATTGATCGATTTAGGTGAAAATAACATACTGCAAGCTTTAGATGTTAACATCAGATTTATATTTTTTAAACAGAATTTTGTCACTGTTTTGGAAAGACTAGCTAATAGATTTTCTTAAAGAGCCCCTATTTTGCATTAAAAAAGGTCATATTTTGGTTTTGGGGGTCTCCAACAATAGAATGATTTGCATGCAGGGGCAAAAAACACTTCTATTGGCTTATAATATGCAATTTATTTTTACCGAATTATCCCAACGAATCCCATATGATTCGTTCAGTGCTCATTTGTTCCCAAACCCCTCCTTAGCTTGATGCTGATCTGCACTGATTGGCTCGATAACTTAGTCTGTTGTGATTGGTCGACTGCGTTCAGCGCACGAGAGAGAGAAATGCCCACTATGACTTATCAACATTGTTGAAGTAGTAAGAGTGCAGAGTGTGTGTGTGAGCCCAATGCAGGAGGGCATTAAAGCAATGCAGTTAAACACTAGCATATTGCTCTATTCTTAACCATAAGTAAAAACATTGGTACACATTCAGTATTAATCCACAAAGCAGCAAAAGTTGAACTACTTTGAAACTAGACCGCCGCACGTGTGTAGGAACAGCAAACTGTGGCCATAGCAATGATAAACGGCAAAGGATTGCGAGCTCGCAAACGCATTTAAATCCGTAAACAAAGCTGCACATGCTGCGTTTGCACTGTGGCTTTAGACACGATATGTGGATTTAAAGAGTTAACCAGATACAGTACAAGCTGCGTGGAGCGATTACAAGTAACAAAACACATTAAAAACATATTTTGCAAGCTAGAGAAAACAAGAAGGCAACCTCTTTAATCACACTTAACACTGGAGGAAAAACTGATCCATGAACTGTGTACTGATAAAGTACTGACAAAGTCCCATACATCAATAGTCTTTCCTGATCCTTCCTTCCAAACAGCCGACGAATCCCCCGGTAGATTATTGCACTAATCAGTTATTAATGTCCACTCATCTTCAGTCATGATCAGTCCCAGTGTTTGAAGAGAAAGGCACATTCATGTTTTACCAGATCCAACACTTAATATTTAGTATTGTTTTGTGTCAACGATGATTTCATGGGACCTTTAATGATAATAAGCTTCATTATCATTATGCCAAGCAATCTGATTGTATTTACTTTAATCATCGAAAAGATGCATGATGGCTATTTAAGACAATTTTTGTCAATGTCATGAGAATTTTACAGTGTGAAACTTTTCATCGCCACGAAAAGGCTTTATATTTCTTATGCAAAGTATAATTATGATTTTGTGCTAAGGCTGACCTGAGGTATTTCCCAGATTACCATAATTATTGTGTCCTCGGGTTTGCATTGCTCTGGAGGTTACAGGATTTGTTAATGTTAATGAGAGATTGTGAGATGACTGTGTTTTGGTGCCTGTGGTGAAGAGTGAGTTTTGGAAAGGGTCTTTACCGCAAACTTTGTGGTTTTTCCTTCTGCTCTGTATTCCGAAAATTTGAAAGCAAGCAATTGAAGTTTGTCCGTTTTCTTTTAGACGACAGAAACGGCAAAGGCAGAAGAATGGAAAAAAAACAACAATATGTAATACCCTATCTCAGATTTTCTCTCATCTCTCTTTTTTTAGAGGAAAAATATGTCAGCGTCCAGGCTTATGCAAGTCAGGGAAAGGATGAGATCGGGTTCGAGAAAGGAGTAACCGTGGAGGTCATCCAGAAGAACCTGGAGGGATGGTGGTACATCAGGTAATCAGTCTAAAGCTTTGTTTTCCCCCATTGCAATATATCTGTTGGTATTGCTAAGCACGTTTTGAGTCTCCAGAAACATCTTCAATACAAAAGTTTGCATTGATGTTGGCGCCAGTAGCCTAGTGGTTACTGTGTCGACATACAGCACCCAGAGGTGCTCGCGGCGACCCATGTTCGATTCCCAGCTCGAGGTCTTTTGCCAATCCTTCGCCTATCTCCGCTCCCCACACTTTCCTTTCCACTGTCCTATCGATAAGGGTGAAAACTCCTAAAAAATTAATTATATATATAAAAAAAGTTTACAATGTTAGTTTTATATAAAGCAAAATAAAGTACACCCTCTGGCCATTTTATTAGGTACACCTTGCTAGTACCCATTTGCATTCAGAACTGCCTTCTTTAAGCTAATGATTTACTGAGATGCTGGAAACATTAAGAAATGTTGGTTTATATTGACTTGACAGTATCATGCAGTTGCTAGTGTATTTGTAAAAATTTACTATCCAGCACATCGAAAGCCTACTAACCATTCCGTGAATTGCCATTCAAAGCCATGTTTTCTGAATGCACTAAATAAACAACATCACTACAATACATCACATAACTTTCGACACAAAGAACAGTATAGTACAGTTAGTAATTACCAAACGTTAAAAATGAAGGTAGGTAGTTGTTGTAATCCTAACATAATCTTTTCTGTGTAAACAGGGTGCACAGAGGAATAAAATTACATATTTTGAACAGCCAATAATGTTTTATACTAAACATTTTGATTGGGGTAACTTTTCCTGGTCCTACACCTGGTCCACAGAATATTCTAATTCCATCAATAATAACAGCTAATAATACACCCATTTGCTTGACTTTGCGTTAAAATTCAGCAGCTATGAAATTGCAAAATTCTGGAGGCTCTTTAACACTGTATGTTCATTTAAGGTATTAATATGTATCCATATGCACAAATGTTTATCTTTTATAAAAGGTATGACCTCAAGTTACAGCTTGTGTACCCTTCCCAGTAGCCATAGGACGTCAACATGACTTCAGATTGATGTTGTACCCCAATGTCTTGGGACATTTTGGGTGGAAAATCAGGTTGACATCAGACTCCAACATCAGACTGATATCAGTGTCCAACGTCAGACAGATATTGGATTTTGGACACTTTCCAATGCAACCTTAAAACAACGTCTAGTGATGTTACAGCTTGACGTTGTGTGCACATTACCACTATGATGTCTATCAGGTGTTTTGGTTGCCATACCTGACGAATAAAAGTCAGTATTTAACGTCAATATGACTTTGGTTTGAGATGTTGGCTTGACGTTGGATTTTAGTAACTTTAAACCCTAAAAATCAATCAAATATCATCTTCATTTGACATCATTATTGGACATCAAGTGATCTCTATGTACACTACTACTAGCCTAAACCAATGACACATGGATGGATGAATTTATGTTTTCATGTAGTTTTAGTCAAATTCTGACCCGACCATCTGAAAGCAGCAGCAGAATTTGACACTCATTAGAACAGACAAACTTTTTCCCAGTCTTCTATTATCCAGGTTTAGTGAGCTCATTCAAGTTCTAACACGTGTGTGCCCTTCTGCCTCTGCAGCTCATCTTCCTCAAGCTTGTGTTATGAATTTGGCTCCTGTAGTAATGAGTGGTTATTTGAGTTTTTATAAGCTTTCTTAAAGCAGTCTGTTTCAGATCTCCTCTGACCCACTGGCACCAGCACAAGGAATTTTGAACCACAGAACACTCTGTGGATGTTTTCCGTTTTTAAACAACAATTTTATTAAACCCCAGAGATATTTGTGTTGAAAATGCCAGTAGATCAGTGGTTTCTGAAATACTCATACTAGTCTTTCACCAGCGTTTAAAGTTCACACCATGTTCAAAGTTACTTACATTAAGCTTCTTACCCATCCTGATGTTCAGTAGATGGGCTAGTATATGTCCACACATGTCATGATTTTGCCAAGTACGATGTGATCCTGGAGTAACATCTTTGTTGATTCTGGATAATCATTTTTGTTCGAAAAGGTGATCCATACCTATTCCCTATTCCAACCCAGCCAAAACTGTAAATTATTGCCAAAATCAGAGAGGTATAATAGTTGGATAACAATCATGTAGAAATGCATAAAGCTACCTATAAGCCTAAACTTAACATAAATGGTAAATGTATCGCTTCTGATTGGCTGATTGGAATGTTGTTCCAGGATCAACACAGATGTTAATCCAGGAACATGTCTTACTTGGTGAAATCAGGTTGGCATTGTGTCCACATGCCTAAATGTGTTTAGTTTCTGCCATGTGATTAGCTCTTATGTTTTTGTTAACAAGCAGTGTTCATTGTTGAGTGTCTACTATATAGCAATTCTCAATTGCCTGATTTCTAGTATTGTCTCAGAAAGTAAACTGTATTATCATCCGTTCCGTATCCACTAAATCAGACTAATAACATTGTAGTTTTTCTCTAAAACTGCTGTGAAAACTGCCTACTAAAAATGCAGTTCTCTTGGTTATTATGTTATGATTTGTCACACTCTCAAGTTCAAATTTCGACATTTTGCTGCGCTTGAAAGAAAAAGAGTCTATCCTGGGATCTGTTGTGTGCAGACACCAGTCATCCTTTCTACAGCTTTATCCTACTATAAGCACTATGCTGACCTCTAGTGGTCAGTAAGAGAATTAACGCAATTTAAAAAAACAAATACTAATTATATTATTTCTAAACAATATCAGAAATCATAGTTATTTTTATTTATTCAATATGTGTTTCATTTATTTGTTGCTTTATTTGTGATTTTTATTTGTGTCTGCAGGTATCAAGGAAAGGAGGGCTGGGCCCCAGCCTCGTACCTGAAGAAACTGAAAGATGACCTTTCCCCAAGAAAGAAGACTCTTACTGGTCCTGTGGAGATAATTGGAAACATAATGGAGATCAGTAACCTCCTCAACAAGAAGGCCGTAAGTGAGAAGGACATTCAGACTGACGGAGAAGCCACCACCCCTGAGCGCCACATCTCCAAAAGTGAAATAAGTTTACCAATGCCATATGCCCCAGAGGCTGGAGTGGCACCAACAGTCGTCACTGCTTTGGGAATGAACTCTGGATCTAGTGCCACCCTACAGGAGAACAAGAGCAGGGCCGAGCCAGGGTCGCCTGCCATAGCCCGGGTGGCACCGCACAGAGTTGAGATAGGTGAGCAATCTATAACAAAATATATCATTTGTTCAGAGTTAGATTTATACAAACCATATTGCACTTTGTAAGTGAATAATCATAGAGCCATATTTTAAATAATAAACCTATGTATGTTCCTGTTATTTTTGCACATAGGATTTGATGCCATAGGTAACATTTCTTTGTGGTAAACATGTGTTTCCTAACATTTTGTCCGGGTGTTGTGTACCTTGATAGTGACACATTCACTTTCTCTGTTGCTCGACATTCAGCCTGTCAAGTGCTGTTTGTTTGCTGTTTGTTTTTGTGCTTACTTATTTGTCTAATTCCAAATGTACACTATACAACTGAAAAAGAAGCATAGTGCTGTACTGCTCACATAACATGACATTCATCCTTGTAAATATGTTTTGTTTTGGATACTGAGATGCACCCCCTATTAATTATGTTTAACAGGTTCTTGATCCCTAATATAACCCCACGATTCCTAGTATTGGTTAAAACCTTCAATGTGATTCATCCTATTCAAATTATTGGCTAAATGTAGCCTGAATCAACTGCATTTTTTGGGATGCATGGCACATTGTGTTAAAATCCTGAATACCAAATAAATCAATACATAAACAAAAATATTGAGACAATGGCTAAAACTGTACATTTTAATCTTGTTTTTTTGTCTTTTTTCTCACTGGCTCACCATTGCTCTTGCTATTTAATCAGTCATAACCAGGCCATCATATTTCTCATACTACAAGATTTCCTTCTGATTTTATTTCTGAAAACATGCTTGTTGTGAATGCATGCTTGAGTGTGTTGAAACACTTCTCTGACCTCATCTAAAGAGGGTTGACCATGAGACTTTAATTGTGTTTGCCAACTTTTTGATCACAAACTCAAAACAAACTCAAAAAAAAAAAAAAAAAAAAACAGAAAACCTGGGAGCCATTCTGATTTCTTAATCCTAAATTTCATTGACAATAATATTTGCTCTCTTGATAAGAGAGACAGCGTATAAACATGTTTTATGTTCAACTGACAGGATCTCCAAACCTCAGACAGAAACCTCCTCCTCGGAGAGATGCAAACCTGGTAAGTTAGGCAGTCCAAAGTAGGTTATTATTATTTAAAATAGCGCAGCATCTATTAATTAGGCCTTTTCTCTATTACTCAAGGCATTCCAGTTGCCCAAACCTCCAGAGGCCCCTACTGTGGAAGCGGAGTATTACACCATAGCAGAGTTTCAATCCAGTATCTCAGATGGCATCAGCTTCCGTGGAGGACAAAAGGCTGATGTAAGGCCGATATATTCTGACTAAAATCTGTGATTTTTAAATATTTAATTTTTAACACATATTTATTAGCAGTCTTTTTAAATATCACTATACAGGGAATTTAATATATGTCAGTGTATTGTGTAAACATATGTGGTGTGATAAAAGTTATAATTATGTAATATGTGGTCTTCAGGTCATAGAAAAGAACTCTGGAGGATGGTGGTATGTCCAGATTGGGGATACGGAGGGCTGGGCACCCAGCTCATACATTGATAAACGTAAGAAGCCCAACCTGAGCCGGCGAACCAGCACACTCACACGTCCTAAAGTTCCACCCCCTGCTCCACCAGTCAAGAAACAGGACTCAGAGGAAGGCCCCTCTCTGGGTGGCTCTGCCTCCAAAGCTCCCGAGTCTCCTCAGCGTGTCTATGAGGAGCCAGAATATGATGTTCCTGCCCTTGGTTTTGACTCTGAGCTGGATTGCAATCCTCCAAAACCGAAAACACATAACTCCCCAAAACCAGAGCCCCGTAAGTTTGAAATTAAAAGCAATCCAGCGGCTGCTGAAAGGATTGCACAAGCTGGCAAAGCGTCGCCTTTATTAAAAGTGATGACCTCACCCCTGAGGAAAAGAAACTCTTTAGAGAATATCAACAAGGAGGAGGTGATTTATGAAAATGAAGGCTTCAGGTTCTCCTCTGATGACTTCGCCAGTGGATGTGATTCACATACCCCAAGGAGTCTCACATTGGGTCGCAAACCTTTCGGATCCTCTTCTGGTGGAGGGAAGCCCCTTCGGAAGGTATCGCCGGATCTAAACCGAAGCCACTCTCTTGGCCGTGCTGAGAGACACAGCTCCAAGTTATTTTCCGATGAATCAGCACGCAATCCCAAAAGAGAGCCTGTCATGCGTAAAGATGTGGAGATCCGGATCGGTCAGAGTCCCTTAGCAAGGCCCAAACCAGTGGTGCGACCCAAACCTCTGCTTACAAAGTCAGAGCCACAAAGTCCTGAAAGAATGGACATCAGCAGCATACGCCGTCACCTTCGACCCACCGGAAGCCTTCGGCAAGGAGCAATTCGTGCAATGCGTGGTGAAGACTCCGAGACAGCTTCTGTTGTGTCCTCTGAGGACTCCACTTCCTCAAGAAGTACCTCTGATCTCTCCAGTGTTTATTCAAAGGGTAGCCGAGGTGGAGAATCCGACCACGAAAGTGTGCTCTTTAGGACCACAGATGCCTATGAACGAGCCCAGGAGTCAGAGCTCAGCTTCCCAGCTGGTGTGGAGGTTGAGGTACTGGAGAAGCAGGAAAGTGGATGGTGGTTTGTTCGTTGGGGCAGTGATGAGGGTTGGGTACCTACTTTTTACTTGGAGCCGATTAAACATACCCACAACGTCGGTATTCAAGAATCCCGTGATAGCCCTCTTGTTGATCTAGGAAGCACCAACAAGTCCAATAGTCTTGAGAAAAATGAGCAGCGTGTTCAGGCCCTTAACAACCTCAACCAGCAAAACCTAAGAAGCATGAGCAACCCTAGCCCACCAATCCCATCCAAACCACCAGGGGGATTTAGCAAACCAACAGCAATGCTGAACGGCTCAAGTGTACGGATGCGCAACGGTGTCCGTCAAGCAGCAGTGCGACCACAGTCAGTGTTTGTGTCTCCACCACAGCCCCTAAAGGAAACCAATATCCATACAGGGTCTTTGAGGAGAAATGAATCACTGGGTGCCGGCGACCACTTGAGGTCCACAGGTGGCGTTCGACGAAACTCCTCCTTCACCGCCGTACGACCACAGCCCGTGACCGATGTACGGGTGAGGGCTGGGACCACCATTACAGCTCCCGCCGGAAGCTCAAGTCCATTGATTGCTCAGAGAAACGGGATTCCAATCTCTACAGTAAGACCCAAGCCCATTGAGAAGATGCAGCTCATTCACAACAACCTTCGAGAGGTTTACGTATCCATCGCAGATTATCGCGGAGATGAAGAGACCATGGGTTTTTCAGAGGGCACTTCTCTTGAAGTTTTGGAGAAGAATCCAAATGGATGGTGGTACTGCCAGGTTCTCGATGGTTTACAGGGACGTAAAGGCTGGGTACCTTCTAACTACCTGGAGAGAAAAAAGTAATTCCCCCAAAAATGTTTTAAACATGCACAATTGTAATCAACATGTAAAAAGATAAACTGACTGAAGGACTATTGGTTTGAGATGAGCGGGACAGAGCCTTTTAGAAAGGAGTTTACATTAAAACTACAGAAAAGCAGGTGAATGTTTAGCAAAATACCTGCCATAACTTTATACCAAATGGGTGCCTTCGAACATCTTTCACTGAATGTTAAGAGGAATCGGTCAAATACCAGTAAAGCATCAGAAAATACCAAACTTCAACTCAGTGCCATAGGCCTACAAGTACAGAAAGCAACAAACTTATTTTTGTTACAGTGTTAAAAAGAGAGAAAGAGAATTTCAGCATAGGTGCATAAAAAAGTGCTAGTTTAATCGTGGGCGCTCGAAAAACGAGAAATTTCAAAACTAAACAACGATTTTACCTTAGCACAAGTGCGTTCAAAGAAACCGAGCTTCGATTGTCATAGAAAAAACCAACAAAAAAAAAAAAACGTATCTTTGTTAATTGTTTTGTGTTGATGTTTTTATATCTTCCTTAGAGATGTATTTCTGCTTTCTTGTAACATCCAAAACAGTTCAATCCTGATCAGTCATCATTATTTTCGCTGCTTTTGTCTCCCCCATACTTTAAACCGTTGCAGGCCAAATGAATAAAACATAATAAAGGAAAGCAGTCTGTGAAAGCTACATCCGCATAGATCACCTCACGTCCACCTCATTGGGTTTAACCCCAAGTTTAGTTTACAAAGTGAATCTGGTTATATTAGGAAGGTAGACAGCTGTTGCTGCTCCATGTGTGCTAAATCTGCTGCTTTTTTATCTGCGGCAGTCGATACTTTAAGAAATCAGGACTGGAAAATCGTATGTTTCGTTAAGCGTTTTATCCCAGGGAAATAGTTACAACATTGAGCCCAAAATGTGATCACACCAAAGAACAATTACAGACACATTTGCAAGTTTGTGTTCGAGTAAGTAGTTGTTTTATGGGTACAAAAAATAGTGTATTCAACAAAACCTGAACGAGGTTTTAGAACTGAGAACAAAGTATATTTAATTGCTATATCTGGAAGCACTTGATTTTTTTTTTAACCCAAAGAAAAAGCACATTAATATGCAAGGTTAATTCATTTCTATGTTACGATATTGCTGGGCAGTATTGAAACCTGACGTTACGCAGTAAAGCAGTATTATTTTTCATTTTCTGTCGGAAAAAAATCAAATAGTTTTACGAACTTTATCTAAGTCCATAATCTAATTTTTAATAGTCTTCATAGATGAACTCATGATTACTCCCCCTTTATTTGTTTGAATCAAATTCATTACCAACAGCATCAAACACTTGATGTTCAAGACTGCTGAAATATTTTTCTAATGAATAGTGCGAGCTTCTTAGCCGAGCTGCGCGCGACTTTTGTTTGATTTCGTTTTCTGCTGGACAGTATTTTAGTGTTAAACAGTTATAACATTAATTACCTGCTAGATCGCAGTTATATTCTATTAAGCAGAACGGTGTTTATTTCGTCTTTGTCTGTTTGTTGGTTGTTGTGTGATCACACATGGACAATAATGACGAATGAAGTCGTTCATTTGTTGTGAATCAATGCGTTTAAGCTTGTTTCTTGAACGCACTGGTTTAAAGATGCAGTCTACTTGATCAGCTTTTAATTTATTGAACAATTGTTTTTGTTATTTATAATTTTTTATTATTATTTAATATTTGTTTTATACTTCTGTCTTACAGAGATGTCATGTTATTGTCATGTAATGCCTTAAACACTTGATAGTTCTGTAGTAATTGGCTACTGCTATATCCCGGGCTATGTCTTTTTTTCCCCCCTACCAAGATATTTTTTATGCAGACGTTAAAAATTGTCTTGAAATTGGAAACTAATTTTTAAATTGTTCATACTTTCACACAATTTGTTTTGCATCAGGAATACATTTTCAGCTGATTGCTGCACCTTTAGCAACTATGGACACTTCCTTTTTCGTTATTGAGCCACATATAATGCCAGATTATTTAAAGAAACAAATACATTTTTTTTATTATATTGTAAAATAATTACAATAAAAAAAAAAAAAATAAAAAAGATGATAATCAATTGAAGTTGTTATTAAAAACCAGCATTGTAATAGGAATGGTTAAATAACAAACGACATACGTTTCATAATTAAAAACACAGGGCTCTATAGTTAAATAATACACGTGGATCCCAAATTGTGACTGGACCAAATTTAGTTTGACTGTTTTTATTTAATGTTATACTTTAAAACAATGAAGTTACAGCAATAACAGGATTTTAAAGTTCTAATTTGACTGATTGTTATTTTATCTTTTGGTTTTAACGTTTAAAACTGAAAATTAAGCCATGAACCGAAGTGACGATGGCATTATAGAAATGTGTCGACTCACTACAGCGCAGCGCTTGTGATGGATGTTGCTAAGCTCCATTAACACTATGCTTTATTTCTTTATTTGCGCCTATACAATTTACAAGGGAACTGTTGAGTGTGGGACTAGTTCTTATGTCATATTACTTGTGTATCTGCTCGCTCTGTTTTATGTGTTCTTTATTTATTTGATTTTTTAATGCTTTATTATTGTGTTTTTACTCTTTGATTTCTTTCTCCTCAACACTTTTGACATTACTCAGATGGAATGAGGAAATGTGCAATACAAAAACAGGCATCTCTCCAGTTAAGAACGATAGTATGGGAACATTTTTACAGTATGTATAACCCTGACAATTTTATGTCAAACGATGCCTGGTTTTGTCCCATCTTCCAAGTCAAATTGAAAATATCAAGACGTTCAATTTGTGTTTCAATATGTGTTGAATGTTTAAATCCCATGATAGATGGACCGGCCAACCATTACTTGATTTCTGCATTCACTTTTTTTTTTTTACCTAGCGAACCACATCTTGCTTTAAGGGGTTTGCTGACCTTACAGACCCATGGTGAATCAGGATGGAAATAATGAGAAAGCATGGGCGTATCTGATTCTGTGAGGCATTTGTCAGTTCAGCCTGTCAAATCACAAATTTGTGATGGAGGGGCAAATCCATCAGTGTCTTTCCGAGCACCGAACCACACACTGCCAACCACACGACTTGTCTCTTTGACATCCACCCCTACATTCCCAATACACTCACTACAATGGCAAAAGGTGTCGCATACTATATTATTGTCAGTTTTCTTTACGAATTTCATTTAGCCTACTAACACAATGCTTTTTGGCTGTAATTTAACTCTGAATCAGTCCAGGTTTAATTTTTCCAGAACTTCCTGTCTGAGTTTAAGCTTTTACATATGTAAATTGGATTACATGAATTATAGTTTTAAATGTAGAAGGGAGAATTTCACTCTGGTTGAAAATGAGGAGGGTTACACATGACTGTCTTGGAGTTTTTGTCATGAGAAAATTTTTTGTACTGCTTCATCCTGTTTTCTTTTTCTCTTCCTCTTTGTGTGATTGCATGAGGATATTGAGATTTTTCGTCAATTGGAGTATATGGGAGAATACATTGGTTATGTTAACAGGATGGAATGTTAGATTTTGTGACAAACCAGCCTGTTCTCGTGAGGAAACATGATTATTTTATGTTTTGTCAGTTTAGTGGCTAATTAAAATCAGTTGTACAAAAAATATGATATTTGATATATGATATGATATGATATTTTAAAAGGAGGTGTGGAACCCAACTCCGCCTCTAAACCCAACCGTCGTTGGGTGAGAAGCAAATCGTACCAAATTGTACGAATGAGATCACTCAAATTTATACAAATTAGCCACTTAATTAAAAAGTCACAAATTGCTGTGAGATCATGTTGGATAAGCTGTCAAAAATAATTACAAATTTGTCCTAAGAAAATTGTTTTCACAAGTTAGAAAAAAGTTTGAATTTGTATGATCATATTTTTATTGACTATATAAAAATGTTTTTGATTGTTTAGTAGTGAGAAACACTGAAAATTTGTTTAAATTTGAACATAATTTGGATGTAAACAAATATTTTAAGAGTATTGTAAGCAAAAAAGTTCACTTTTAGGAGTTCATACAATGTGATCTCAGTCAAACAGACAAAAATAATTTAAATCAACAAAACGACACTATTTTACAAAGTTGTTATTTTGTTTGTATTTGAACAAAGTCGTTTGATACAATAGTCTTGTCTCATTTTAGAGGCTTCATCCTCAGAAGGATGCATTCGAAGGGCACTGCGTCTCACCAAATAAAAATAAAATTATAAAAATATCCAAGACTCCTTCAAATACGGCCACCAAATGCATCCTTCTTTTCCCAGGTAATGAAGGATACAACTGGTGGATCCTTTATGACCTGAAACTCCCAAGATTTATTTCGGGCTGATAACGGCAGGAAGTTTTTAAAAGAAAACTCTGGATTACAGTTTTAAATGTATGAATTAGGTTTTACTTTACTTTGATATCAACTGTAAACTGTAAAGTGATTGTTTTGCCTTTAGATCACTTAATATAATTTTAAAATTAAAAACGACATTAAAATTTTTATTACCGCTTATTAGCGGTAGCTGTTACGGTTTCTAGTTGATGAGATTCGTCCTCTGTAGGCTAAATTGTATATTTTCAAAATACTCACTACGGCCTATGCGGACTTCAAAGGACTCTCTTCGGAAGTCTACATCTTTTGGAGGATGCAGCCTCTGAAATGAGACACGGTATCACAGTAAACATCGACTTGTACACATTTTATGTAAAATAGTTACAAATTGCCATGAAAGTGCGTTAGTTTAAACCTGGAAGATACTTTATGCTCTTGAATCCGAAGAGAACACTGTTACTTCCCTATTGTGGGGAAACTTGTTGTGTTTGTATGGGGTATGATGTATGGTGTGGTGGTTTACGTACATGTTTTTTTATGTTGGAAAGAGAAGGTGAATCGAAGGAACGCTTGTTTATGATGTTATAGCTAGAAGGTAGAAGGTAATCCAGTCAGTTAAGGTTAGACATAATTAACCAGTTCTAATGGACTCAAAGACCCGTTGTCTGTGTGAAAGGAAATCAAGGCATTTTATAATAATTTGCACTTTTGGAAAAGCGTCCCGCTAGCGGCACTAGCTCATTATGGTGTCACGTCACATTGTCATAATAGTGTTCAAGGAAACACTAGTTATTTCAGTCAGAAAACTCACTGCAACTTAATTCAAGTGAGCAGCTTTGTATTTAAGGCCATTGTTTCTCAAAAATATCTTGAGAATACAAGCTCAAAAACTTGAGAAATGGATATTCATGTCACTTTAACTATTAAAAAAAGATTGCTGACAGAATGTTAGTGTAAAAGTATAGGAGTCTTCGTCTCCAGCACACCCACCGCAGTGTCAGGGGGTACATGCGAGCGCTGTGAAATCACATTACCCGAGTGCTCGGTTAATTACAGATGCTTGAGACGGGGAGCCCTGAATGCAAATGTCACACTGATTGTGGACGTGGAGCTGCCAGGGGGTTTGGATCAGATGCCGAGATAGATTGATCATGTCTCTAATGGTTCACAGCATGTCGAGATGTATTAACATCATCAAGAGGTGTCATTCCAGCTTCCTGCGTCGGCGAATGCCTTGATTTACGGAGGCGTCTACATGTCATGTTGGTGCAAAACAAAGTCGTGAGGATGTACGTGATTGCTTGTGTCAGGATGTTATTTTTGTCTGGCTTGGGAAGGCTTCTATTTTGTATTTGTGCTTAAGATATTTTATTGACAAGGGTGGTTCACATCAAGGGTGATTTATTATACTGATAAAAATATAGTTTTCTGAATTTACACTTCAGCATTAGCAATAATGAGGAATGATTTAAGCCTAGTTTAAACTTCTGTGTCGAGTGATCAGCGTGAACCAATGGCGCATGTCTTGCATATAGTCATGCATTTATACTTCTGCATGCTGTTTGTGTTGCTCTGCAATAACACTTCCGAAATACAAGCCGGCAGCAGATTTTTATGTTCCTCTGTGTCTAGTTTCTTCGCTGGTGTTTTTTTTTTTCTGAAAGCTAGAAGTAGCTCAAACTCATTCATTTTGAGGTGGGAACTGGCAGACGCGCAATAACTTTAATCATAAGGTAAACAAAACAAAAATTTCCATCTGGAGCTCCTTTATAGGACTCCACACTTGTAAACACTTGCTCTCGGTTCCGCCCACACTTGTCAGCGCTACCAAGCCAGCCAATCACAGAGCTTGAGTAACGTGTCATTGCGACATGTAGTAACATTTTTTGAGAGATGCACCTCAGCGTCGGCAACGGCTAAGCCGATGGCTGTGCAACCACACGCAGGCTGCACCGGAGCATATGGGTGCGCTTGACGCAGAAGTATAAATCAGCCATTAGGTTATGTTTTCAACTAGAAACGCTAAACTTTCAAGCATTTTAGGCAAAATGTTTAGGCAATGGCGTTTTGGTTGAACTGGGAATGCAAGTTTTTAAAAACGAAACTGTCTACAATTTAAAGGCACAATATTTAATTTTCGCCACTAGAGGCCACATATTCACAACAAACAAGACGTAGATTGACCGTGTGGAATCATGGGAGTTGTCGTTTTCATTATGTTATGGGACTGTTTAATAAAACTAAACATATTAAAGTGTATTTAACTATTTTAAAACCGAACCAGAAAACGATGATGTGTGACGTCATTAGCGTGGCGACAAATTGCAGTCCATTTCACTAGTTAAAATAGCAAATTTTTCCAGATTTAAATTTAAGATATTTAATTTAATTTAGATATATAATTTAACATTTAAGATAATGCAAGTACATGTCAGCAAAATATAGAATGCTGTTGATAGTTTTTGGATATTTTAATTTAAAAATCGCTCATATTGTGCCTTTAACTACAAAAAAAAAAAAAAAAAAAAAACAATTTTGAGAAACTGGGACTTAATTAAAAACACAAAGGAAATCCGAATCCAAAACAGTATCGAATACATTATCATTCTTGATGTGAACAGATCTTTGCTTGATTCAGTGTTTACAAATGAGTGGAAATTTCATTAAACATAACTTGAATTTCATTGCTAGGAAGTTTCGTATACAAAAACGGTTAAATTTGATTAGTAAACATTTTTTGGTAACCTTACCCTGGATTTTAAGCAAGTAGGCCTGTTTTAGGCATGGATTAGGATGGAGAAAGCCGTATGTGTGTGTGTGAGCTGTGATGTACTGTATGAAGTGCTTAAAAGGAGTTGGGCAAGTTTTTGTTTTTTATTGGATCATTTGCATTTCTGATGCATTGGTGTTTGGCGTGAGGCAGCAGGGTGTGTTTATGTGTTCACTTTGAAGGGAATGGATACAGAGAGCGAACATGCTGCTGCGGTCCAATCTCTTGCTGTTTTCTGTCCCTGTCTTCACTCGGCTGTCTGCACTAATTATCACTCCTCTCCTCTTAATTAACAGCGAAGAAAAAAAAATAGTAACATCTTACTTAAAAGAGTGTTTTGATGAGAGTCACTTCTCTGAAAGTTCAATTTATTCAGGGCTGCTTTCATCACGCGCCCACTTAACAGATTGCTGTTTGTGTGCAGTCTCAGGAGACTTTTGTTATCACCTACTTTAAATATGAGCTTATACATGTAAAGCATGTTCTTGGACAGTCTTTGAACTCTTCATTATAAAAAGACAGTCTTCAAAGAACTCCTCAAGTTAATCTACGTGCAAAGTTTAAATCTCAGACAGGAAGTGAAGAAGACAATTAAATAGTGTAATGTTTTTCTGACAGACCATTGGATGTAAGGAACGCTTGGCTGGATATTTTGCAAACCCCCTCCAATCATAAGATATATTAAAATGGGTGCTCTTGGAACAAGTAAGAGAAAGCCTTGCATTGGTGTTATTCAGCGCTCAGCCAAATCTACATTTTGTATGCATTTCTTTGTAAGATTTCAAAGATCTACAGCTTCAGCTTTTTTAATTTTCAGCAATCTTTTTTTTTACTTTACGTTTTTTTTTGTACCTTTTTTATGTTTACATTGTATCTTGCATTGTCCTAAAGGAAAACACAATAAAATGTATCCTTGTTCGTATCTCGCTGTCATGCTTTCGACTACTTTAAGCAGAAAACATTCATCTTTCATAGATAAACATGAAGTGATTTAGGAGTCAGGTTTTACGCTGTCAAGGAGCTAGAGATCATGCTTGTAAATCCAACACCATTTGTCTTAATCTGAATGATGAACATCGGTTGCAGTTTTCAAAATCAAGGGAAAACTTTCTTTCATGAAATTCATTCGTCAATAAAACATACTTGTTTGGAGTATAGTATCCTACAACAGGCCCGTAGCCAGCCTGATGACAGGGGTGGTTCTTTTTTCTTAATATATAGAACTTTTTGCAGCTATTAGCCTCATTTTCTATCTAATTATGAGGTTTAAATACTTTTTAAGCACTATTTTTTTGCTGGATTAGCTTGTCAGATAATCATCAACCACATTTTGAGCCTACCAAAAACCTTTCCTAAAGATTTCGAAGAAAAAAATAAGAGAATATTACTTGTTTTTTTATTAAATACAAATTTATTACATCATATATATTCGACTAGCCTATTGTCATTTATTTGGCAAATACAAACTGGCCAGCACATTCAGCATTCCCCAGTCACGCTAAAGACAAACAAGCATTCCACTTGGTCTTCTTAAACCCTTCTTTGATGGTTATCTTTTCAATTTACAATGGCATAGCAGTCAAAATAGAACAAATGAGCATGTGTATGGGACAAATTCTGGACCTCTGTCAGTGAGGGGTAGGCATGGGACGATAACCGTGTTCAAGGTATACCGTGGTTTGGAAAAGTCAGGGTTTTAAAACAGTCAAAATTTTCTGCTATACTGTTCTTAAGGTATGAGTAAGATTTTTTTTTATTTAAATTGTTTTGTTTTTTAAGATAGCAGTATCTCTAGCAGAAAGGATCTCCAAAGATGCAGTTTTAAATTGTAAAAATAAAGTGTTTTTAAAACAAATGAAGACAGGCCTGACAGAAAAATGAAGATAATTGTAAAATACTATTTATTTGTGGAATTTACTTATCATTTTGTGTTGCAAAACTATTAAAGCTGTAGGTTCAATTGGGCAGAGGACAAGGACAATGACAGGGCTTGTAAGTTTGTAAAGCGTTTTTTATAAAGAAAAAAGATCTGAGAAGAAAATGAATGGCATTTTCCTTTACAGAACAACTCACAGAAATCAACCATCAGTCCATTTTAGATTTTTTTTGAATGAAATACTTTTTTATTCACTGTATTTATGTTATTACTTCAAGGATAATGTACGTTTCTGGTAAAATGTCTCATGACAGCTACACTTCACAGTTGATTTTATGTTATATGTCAACTGTAAAATATGTTAATGTTAAGCATGCTATATGAAGTAGGCCTCAACTGAAAGGAGTAAATAAAAATAATGGAAGAACAGTGCATGTTTTTCAAAGCTAGCTAACTTATTCATAGCTAGCTATATTTACTGAGAGCTGACTCTATTAGATGAACTGAACAGCCCTTCATTTGTAACAGTAACTCCATATTTTATTTTTTTTCGTAATATTTATTTATTATTCGTAATATGTATTTAATATTTACGTATATTTATTATTGGTTTATAGAATAAGCCCTCTGAAAAAAGGAAATAGTCGTTACTTACATTATTCACAACTAACTTACAAGATTTGGGCCGACCCGTATATAAAGGAATGCCTCATAAATTGGAAAGTATGTGATTATTTACTCACCCTTGAATCGATAATTTGCAGACGATTCATTGTAAAATCACACAATCGTTTTATGTTGATACAGTAGTTTTATAGACAAACACATTCGTCGAATGTTTTTCCCATCATCCAAGCAGACCTTCAGTGCGTTTACAACGCGTCAGGGCAGAACCAATGGGCTTTGACGTCTATTTAACCTGGCACGCGTTTGTTCGCGCCAAAACGAGTATGAGATATTAAAACAAAACTGGATAAACAACATTTATGAAGAAAGGAATGATATGCGACTGCATTCAAGGTAAATTTTACAAGTTGCTGCTTTCTTGAGCCTAGCATTACTTAACATTAGCATAAGTTCATCTGTGGAAATTTGAATAAAACATAAAGGCACAGTGTTCAGATAACTTTATTTGCATTAAATGCATAATTAATTCGGTGTTTTTTAAGAAATTATACCTTAATTGACCTTGAGGTGATATATTGGAAAAGCTAATCATGACATGCACTCATTTACCTCCTATTGTTATTAAACTGGTCAAACACACCAAAACGTTAGGTTTGACTGAAATACAGCACTACACACAAGCTTTTTCCACAAGGGGGCAGCCTTAAACAAGCCTTAACCATATTGTAAAATGGCCTGATGGAAATGAGTGTGTTCACGGTGGGCTGTCATACGGGTTGGTCTCAGTATACCTTTAACCGAGAGGGGAGATCTTCATCCCCCCCTCCTCCTCTCAGTTCCAGAGCACAGCATCAAAGACACCTTTCATCCCTCATCTGCACACGTCTGATCTCAGGCATGTCAAGTGCTCCTCTTTACAATCCACCTTTAACGTCTGATTCCGGGTCAGGTTGCCATCATGGCTCAAATTGCATATTTTCAGACTCAATCTTGAAGTGATTTTGTCAGCACGTGTTGCTAGTTTTGTGCTGAGCAATTCATCTGTGCATTTCATTTGTTTGCCCTTGTAATATAAAATAGAAATCTGAAAATAAAATGTTTGTTTTTCGTTAAATTCTCAGATTAGAGAATGTATTATTATTGGGCGTGACTAATATTAATCAAGTATATTATTAGGCGTGACTAACATTTTTAACCACGCCCCTCCAACTTTAAAATTTGACAACAAACTGAAATGGTGAGGAGGAGGTGTCTGTTAGGTTGTAATAAACCCTTCTTCTAAAACCATTTTCTCTCTCTTTTTTTTTTTTTTTTTTTGAATGAAACACCTACTTCACTACATCCAATCAGCTTGCAGTAGAAAAGGTAAGTTTATGAACTGCATCAGAATGTCATTTTGACCTATGATAATAAGTTGGAAAATGAAGCTTATGAGCAATTCCATGCAAATGTCAATCTTGCCATAAAAAAAGAGGTTTTCATCCAAATACGGGACGTTTTTTGTGTAAGCAAGTATTTTACAGTACTTTAGAGAGACTCAGGAAGGTCTCTGTCATTGTTTTCAAACTATTAAATCTGATTTACCAGTCACACAAGAGGCAATTTCACATCTGTCACATCCATAACTGAGAGCTGTCACATCCATAACAACACATTTTTCTCATAAATGCAAACACATAAAATGTAATTAAATCAGTCATTTTTGTTTTATAGACAGCAAACTATTCTCCTTTTGATTAGCATTGTTTCTGTTGGGTTGTTCAGTTTAATTCACAGAATTTAGACAAAGTATGTTGTATTTTGTAAACTCCCAGACTTTTTTGGTCACATACATAACGCATGTTTATTTTTCCCATTAAAAGTACAAAACATGTTAACAGATTGATATTTTTCTGATCCCTTAACTGTGGTAAGTTGTTCTGGAAAATATGAACAGATGTTTCAATATAATGTTAACATACAGTTGAAGTCAGAAGTATTAGCCCCCCTTTGAATTATTATTATTTTTAAAATATTTCCCAAATGATGTTTAACAGAGCAAGGGAATTTTCACAGTATGTCTGATAATAATTTTTTTCTTCTTGAGAAAGTCATATTTGTTTTAATTGACCCAGAATAAAAGCAGTTTTTAAATTTTTTAAACACCATTCTAAGGTCAATTTTTTTTCGATAGTCTACCGAACAGATCATCATTATGCAATAACTTGCCTAATTACCCTTACCTGAATAGTTAACTTAATCAACCTAGTTAAGCCTTTAAACATCACTTTAAGCTGAATATTAGTGTCTTAAAAAAAATATATATATAGTCTAATATTATTTACTGTCATCATGACAAAGATTAAATAATTCAGTTATTAGAAATGAGCTATTAAAACTATTATGTTTAGAAATGTGTTGGAAAAAAAAATCTTCTCTCCGTTAAACAGAAATTGGGGGGAAAATAAATGGGGAGGCTAATAATTCTGAATTTATGTTTTGAGTTTTTACTGCAAATGTTACATCCAGAACGCTGGAATTGCTCTTGTGTTTTCAATCTTTTGCTTATACTTACCAAGTTTCATTTCATTGTTGTCAATGTAGCTGTCAAAAACTTCTTTTCTCAGTGGTACTTAAAGCACCGTAGCCAAGGGGGTTCGGGTATTTCGAAAGACCCACCCCCACTGATAAAAAGTCCAGAATTTGTCCCGTACATGAGCTCATTTTTCTTATTTTGACTGCTGATACCATAAATTGTGAAGGCATCAAAGGCTTCCAATACATGCTAACAATTATGGTCCAATGTCTAGTTGTGCAAAAAACCGAAACAAAAGAAAACATAGAATGTGACGTGTGAAATCATCTTTTAAGTAACTTTTATTTTCTATCTTGGACCTTATTTTTGAAAAAAAAAAAAATATATATATATATATAAAAGGTTTAAAGCACAAAAAGCAGCCCATATTAAAGTACATTTTTATACTAATTGTGCTATTCTTCCTATCCATAAACTTTTATTTTACAGAAAAGATTAGAGAAATCAAGAAGCTCTACATTATTAATATTAATATGTTTTAAAAATATATTATTCAGATGGCTAAACTTTGATTGAGGATAGTTGAATGTGCTGCCAGTTTATTATTTGCCCAATAAATGACAATAGGCCACAGTTTTTAGTTTTTTTATTTAAACTTTGACTCCTTTTTTTCTAATGATATTTGATGTAATAAATTAGTATTAAAAAAAATTACTTTTTTTTCATATTTCTTAATTTTAAATATTTATCAAATGTTTTTGGTTCATCAAAAAGTGTGGTTATGATGGCCACCCCACAAGCTAATCCAGCTAAAATAATGCTTAAAATGTCGCTAAAAGGCAGCATTTGAATTAGGGCTAGGCGATTTGGCCTAAAATCAAAATCTCGATTAATTAAACATTTT